CAACTGGACAAATGCGGACCTGGCCCGGAAGGGCCTGCCTTCAAGGCCCAAGATGCGGCATTTGTCCGAACAAACGAAGAGCCTGTTTGGACGAACTGCAGGTCTGAAACGACACCTGGACAGGCAAAAATAGGATAGGAAATAAATAAATAAATGTTGTCTCAAATCGAAACTGCGGCCCTAAGGCCGGCCGTGGTCCTCTAGGGTGCCAAAATGTGGCTTGCCTGGGTGCCTACCGGACGTCCAGGTTGCTGAACGCTGGTTTACTCGAAAGGAACTCAAGACCGGAAAGTCTGTTGTCCTCAGGTACGAGGCAGCAAAGAAGGGACAAGCCCTTCGACGCTCTGCTCGTCTACACCCCTAGCTCGGAAGTCCTCGCTTCGAGGGAGGGTCGGCCTGCAATGACTTGCTGATTCTGCAGCCTGTGGGCCGTCGCACCGAGACGGAGACTGTAACAAGCAGGACATTCGTAATTTTGTTTTACGAAGGAGTAACCGTGATATCCACCTGTGGGGAAATTCGGGAGGGACATATCTGCAAAATTGGGAAAATTCAGGCCAGTATTAATTTGGATTTCCTATAGCCACCCTGACTGCGAATAGCAGGCCCGGGCTACCATGAGGACAGACAGGCCCTAGGGCCTACGCTGATAGACTTGTCCTATAGCCTATAGCCGGGTAGGGAGAGGCCCTAGAGGCGGAAACTGAAACGGTACGGGTCGGTCCAATAGGTCCGGTTTAGGTCGAGTCTAGGCTAGAGTAGATTTATTAATAGATTGAGGAAGGCTGTTTGGGGCTTCTTGACGGGGAGTACTTTGTACATCGCAGCTGCAGGACGCGTGAGCTGGAGTGGTAACAGCTTCAGCATTGAAGACGACAAACATAGCCAGACCCTCGAAGCATCGGCCATAGCTGGGTCCTTCGCTGTTCTCTGGCAGCACGTGGGACTGCTTAGAGGTCTGGGCTATCTGAGGTCTGTTGGGAGCACATGAAGTTGGGGCCCTGTCGAACCCTCCTCAGGAGTCGGGTTGGAGGGTGGTGGCGCTGCAGCCATAGCTGCAACTTACATCCTTAGGGATCTCCTTTGCCAGGAAAGGTGGCACTGCTGCAGATCTTCATAAGTGAAGTCGTATGGCACTTCATCTTCATCATAGACTGTGGCCTCGTCTTTTCTCCATCCTATGAGAGGCACTTGGCCTCAGAGGCCTGTTTCAGGGTGGCGCTTCTGTTATGAACCTGGTTGTTTGTTGTCAGAAGACCAACACTCGCTCACATAGACTTGACTTCCAGGTATGCCCATTCATACACAGAAGGAAGGGGAGAAGATGGGAGTATCACACCGTACAGGGAGAGAAATACAGCGGAAGACTTGTCGATGGGATATGACAGAAAACACTGAAAGGGTATTCGCTCCACAAAATCCTCAGAACCAGTCACAAAGGAAAGCGGAGTAGATCACATTCAGGAAACAATGAAGCAATGATAGTCCACAGACAATATTCACACTGTTTACTAAACTCAGAGTCTCGAAATGTCAGAATAACCCCAAAACCATGGTGCGCTGCTCTGGAATGAGCAGCGCTTCACTCCCCAACCCTGAGTAACTGCTATACTACCCTTGAGACCTTGAAACAACCAGTGCCACCCAAATACTGCCTCCAAAGGGAAGCGCCACCTTGAAACAGGCCTCTGAGGCCAAGCGCTTCTCAGAGGATGAAGAAGAAGACTAGCACCACAGTACCTGATGATGATGAAGTGCCAGAAGACTTCCCGGGTGAAAGTCTGTAGCAGCGCCACCTCTCCTGACAAGGATGAGCTTTGAGGAAGATAGCAGCAGCTAAGGCTGCAGTGCCACAGACCTTGACACCCTACTCTTGAGGAGGGTTCAGCAGGGCATCGACTTCTCTTGCCCCCAACAGACTCTAAATAGCCCAGACCTTTGAACAGCCCCGCGTGTTGTCCGAGAACAACACAGGCCCCAGCTATGGCCGATGCTTCACATGTTTGGCTATGACTGTCTTCCCCAACGCTGAAGCTGTCACCTGTCACGGGTCTCACTTCACTCACAAACTCAATCCTTCTCCGAGAAAGGTCATATACGTATGTATCCCATAATCAGGCGAAATTAATTCAATTCTAAAAATAAATCGTCTGTATACGTGATCCCATGGGCACTCCAGTTCATGCGTTGCACAGTAGCGTCGTACACCGTACCAACTGCCAAAAGCCCCGAACAGTTTTTCCTAAACCTATTCATAGTCTACTCTAGCCTAGACACGACCTAGACCAGACTGACTGGACCGACCAGTACCGTTTCCGTTTTGGCCTCTAGGGCCTCTCCCTACCCGACTATAGGCTATAGGACTGTCTATTGGCATAGGCCTTCAAGGCCTGTCCGTCCTTGGGGTAGCCCGGGCCTGCTATTCGAGTTAAGGTAACTGTAGGAAATTCTAGTTAGTGCGGGCCTATATTTTCTTGAATTTGCAGATATGTCCCTCAAGAATTTTCCTTACAGGCAGGTCTCTCGGTTAGCCCTCAACCAAACAAAACTACAAATCTAACCTACCTATGTTACAGCCTCGGGTCGACGGGTCGCAGGCTGCAGAATCAGCAAGTCATTGCAGACCGACCCTCCCTCGAAGCGAGGACCTCTGAGCTAGGAGTGCAGGCGTGCATAGCGTCGAGGAAATAGTCCCTTCTTGGTTGCCTCATATTTGAGGACAGCCGACTTAGCTGTCTTGAGAAGTTCGTTACGTGTGAACCAGCGATCCTCATTGTGAGCCTGGTACATGAACTTCACAAGATAATGCACATCTGAGCCGGTACCCATCTCATCCTCAATCGTCTCCACTTCATATGCCTTGGGATTGGTGGACCGAATTGAGGGGGTCTGTCTGGGAATGCATCAGCTGAGGTAAAGGGCAACAACTTGGATGCATGGAAGGCAGGGTAGGTTTGTAGATGCAGGGGAACATCAATAACATTGGATGGTCCAAAACGATCAGCCCCCACTGTATCTAAACCCTGCCATGGACCCATATATCGTGGGAACAGCTTAGGTGAAATATCCTCCTCCCGGGATAACTAAGAACCGAGTACCCAAACCCAGTCACCTGTGCGAATCGTAGAAGGCCGGCGATGTCTGTTAGCCTGCTGAATCATAGTCTTTTGAGCTTTGAGCAGGTTGGCACGGGCATGCTCGATATCCACTCGAATAACGTCTGGTGAACTCTGTGGTTCCAGGTGTCAATGTAGGAGTAGCCTTATCGATGATATCATCGAGAGGCTGGCGTGGCTCACGACCTCAATGTAACCGGTAGGGTGTGAAACCAGTGGAGGAGTGTACAAAAGTGTTATACACCAGCTGTGCAGGACCCAAATGGAGATCCCAGTCCTGCTCATTTGGACTGATCACAGGACGCAACAGCTGGAACAGAATCTGGTTCATCACTTCAGCCTGACCATTGGCTTCAGGATGACGACCAGATGTCATGTCCAAGCGAGAATGGAGGTAGTCCTTGAAGTAGGACTGCCACTCATGGCTGCAAAAACGAGGATCTCGATCACTGACAATAGAGGTGGGTGGTCCATGATGTGTAACCCACCTGTCAGCAAATGCCGCTTGAACGGCAGGGTCTCTGGCTTCTCCTGGCAAAGGGATGAACTTCGCATACTTGGAGAACCTGTCCGCACACACCATAACCTGATGCATACCACGAGGGGTGGTCCTACCTAAATCAGTAAGTAAATAGACACTGATTGTGCAGATGCCTCAGGGATGGGAAGTGGTTTGAGTAGGCCAAGGGGAGGTCTGTGGAGCAAATTGCACTCTCATTGTATTCTGTCATATCGCATGGACAAGGCTTCCGTTGTGTCTCATTCTCTCCGTGTGGTGTGATACTCCTATCCCCTTCCTTCTGTGTGTGTATGGGCATGCATGGAAGTCTATGTGAGCGAGCGTTGGTCTTCCGACAACAAGCAACCAGGTTCATAACACATGAGCGAGTGTCCGCAACTGGACAAAAGCGGACCTGGCCCGAAAGCGCCTGCCTATGTCCAAGGCCCAGGATGCAGCCTTTGTCCGAACAGACAAAGAGCCTGTTCGGACGAACTGCAACTCCGGAACGACGCCTGAACAGACAAAAATAGGACAGGAAATAAATAAATAAATAAATAAGTAAATGAATGCTGTCTCAAATCGAAACTGCAACCCTAAGGCCGGCCGTGGGCCTCCAGGGCGCGCGTCTGAGGGGCGTGCGGCCTGGGGGCCCCCAGCAACAGTCGTGTCTAAGCATGTAACACCCCCGCCTCCTTATGAAGTCAAGCCGGGTCGAGCACGCGCGCGTGAGAGAGAGAGAGAGAGAGAGAGAGAGAGCACTTGGAGAAAAGGATGCAATTGCACAATCCAATATCTAAGTGAAGTACATATTCGCCAACCATGGTTGTTTTCTGTGTGTGAAGCCATAACAGGTCCTCTAGTATTTTATGAAAAGGGACAAGTTGTGACATAAACTGCACACAGAACATTTTGTGCAAGGGGCATTGCTCTGCACATAATTTTTGTCACGGGCAATGTGTGGTCGGGTATACACAGAGGGAGGTAGGTGGAAGTTGAGGGGGGGGAAGGGAGCGAAGAGAGAGACAGAGAGATCATGTCTATGATGAAAATGTGAATGTGCCTCAAAACACACAAAATAAAAATGCAAGAAAAGGTAATGAAAGTTAAATGAACGTGTTTCCTCAACTACTTTTTAGGGTCAGGGGATCGACAACAGGTCTTCTAGCTGGTAGTGAAAGTTAGTTTTGAAGTTACGTGAACACAAGATTTATATTTTGTATCTCCAATTCTTTTGTCTGAGGAGTAAAAGGATTTGTGGAATATGCATTGCCTGCTGATGCCTGGAAAGTAAGCATTAGAGATACTGCAGAGCCTGGGAACGGATTCAAGGGAATCTGATAGATGTTTTGGTCTCTCTGTTTTGATATGTTTGTCTGGGACAGGCCGTCTGGGAGCACGATTCCTGGGAGGATTGTGGAACCCTTGGTAGTCCAGTGTGGACACCACGATGTCAATCCGCCATGGAGGTGATTGACCTGGCCTATTCCCTGTTTTTGGATATTCTATGAATGGTATTTGTGCCAATACTAGCCCAGCAGTACGATCAGCAGGATTCCTCTATGAAGTTGGTGGAGCTTCGTCAATGTGAAAAGAAATTGTTGTCTACAAGAATTATTGACCTGACCGAATCCCTGTTTTTGGATATTCTATGAACGGTATGTATGCCAATAGAAGCCCAGAAGTGCTATCAGCAGGATTCTCTATGAAGTTGAATGTGGACCTACGCCAATGCGAAAAGAAATTGTCGTCTGCAAGAATTATTGAAGCATTGGGGTACAACATCAAACCAATGTACGGAAGAAGTGGGGTCTACATCAGTCTTAAATAGGACAGTCATTCATGCAATTTATGGAATCGTTTGCAGATGTGATAGTGGCAAGCTTCTTCCCCATCTGTCTTTTGTTCTTCCGCTTCTCTCATCTGTCTATGCTCTGTTTCACAGATCCGGCCTACAACCCTTATGGTCCTGGAAGACTGTCAATCTTGCAAGAGGAAGTAAGGGATTTCTAGCTCTTCTCCATTCAGCTTAATTACTTATAATCAGAAAATATCCCAGACTCTCAATCTTGCACGAGGAAGTAAGGTATTTCTAGCTCTTCTCCAATCAGCTGATTTACTTGTTATTAGAAAAGATCCCGGAACCAATGGCATGGGCTTGTATCTCACGTCCTGTAAAAAAGACTAGTCAATCTTGCAAGAGGAAGTAAGTAAGGGATTTCTAATACCTTTCTCGGCCTTTTGGCTAAGATCGAGTGTAGTATCTGTTCTGATCAGTTTAATAAAAAAAAAAAGGGAGAAAAAAAAAGAAGGGATTTCTCTCTCTTCTCCATTCAGCTTAATTACTTGTAATCAGAAAATATCCCAGACTCTCAATCTTGCACATGGAAGTAAGGTATTTCTAGCTGTTCTCCATTCATCTGATTTACTTGTTATGAGAAAAGATCCCAGAACCAATGGCATGGGCTTGTATCTCACGTCCTGTAAAATTTCTTTATTTGGAATGTTTGATGGCCTCCAAAGCCTTAACGGCTGGTTAACTTGCGAAGTTGCAGCACAGCTAGCGTCTTACAGTGCAGAATGCAGAATATTTACAATCTCCATCGTTCTCACATTGATACACGTTCTCCCATTGTTTGTGCACACATTTCTAATATATCTTCACACCGACTGCTGCTTTGTTACCAACATATGGACTTTAGGTTGTCGTTAACGTTTTTCCCTTTTTCTTTTCAAAAGGGGGTTATTTAAAGCCCATCCATCAGTACAGCTGAACGTAGTCAGACTTGTGGAGCTGAGAGGATTGAGGGCAATCAGTTCCTTAAATGTTTGAGTTAAGAAAATGTTGAACCGGGATTCCCATTCCACCTCGCCTTTTTCCAAACACTGTACGGGCAAGTGGCGCTGTTGGTTTGGTTGTGCTGCTGTGCAGGCCTGTTACATGCTGTCATTTTTGTGGTCTTGATTGCTACATTATCTCTGTCTCACTGAGATAACTACGGACTTACCCTCACTGCTGTTTCTCTGTGGAAATGCATCTGGTAAAGATAAAGGAACTCCCAGAAGAACTTCCTCCACAGTGGAGCGCTGTGTTGTCTGGTTTGAACAACAGCCTTCGTGAAATTGGGGCGGAGAGTCTTGATCAGAAGGATGCGATGTTTGCTATGAACACCATGGTCATGGCTGCGCTGGAATCTGGGAAGGTGCCTGCTGGCAGTCGTCGGCAGAGTAATAGGCAGTCCTGTAGGCCCCCAGACACTGCTGTGAATTATGGAACTAGCAAGTCTGCACCCCTGACATCAGCTGGTCTCCCTGTGAATATGGAGGTCGCACCAGGAGGGATAAATATGGGAAAGGCAAATGTTTTTGGCCGTCCTCTTACCTCCCAGCCCACTCTGAGCAAATCTGGCCCATTGCTTCTTTCTCCACTTCATCCAGATCGGCAGGGTGAGCAGAACAGTACAAATATAGCTTTCTGTGACAGAATCCCCTCAGCTCAAGCAGTACACTTGAAGGACACACCCACGGATAATGGTGCAAAGCCACAATCACAAGGCTGCTTGCTCGTTGGTGCCTTGCCTCGGAAAGGGAACCGGCAGGCTGGAGAAGTGAGTAAATCTGGACCACTGCCTTATACCGCTCGGGGCAACGGTGTTATGCAAAACCCGGGTAATCCACCGGCAACCCAGGCAACAATGACGACACGGTCAGCAGCTGCGGATGTCCGAGGGCACCCGAACATTTCACCAGCTGATCGAATGCCGTTGCAGCAGCAGAAGGCCCAGCATGTACAGAGTCAGTGGAATCAGCAACAGCCGTCAAATGTGTTGGCATCGAGGAAAATTGTGGAAAAGCGGCCAATTGTGAGCAAATCTGGTCCCCTTGTGACATCTGGTGCCAAACTTCGCATGGGTAACTCAGCTGGTGTAAATGGTTTCCCGTCAAGGGGTGGCGAAAATGTTCTCATCAGTGCGAGTCAGAATGGGCACGGATGCATTGCAGATACTCTCAATTTGATGGAGCCCCTGCCAGCCTACCAGGGAATCCCTCATTCTTGCCCTGTGTTGCAAACCGGTCCACAACAGGTGAGGTTTTCCCTGGATGGTGGCACAGGAATGGGAACCTTCAAATCAGGACCCTTGCAGACAAGGCCGCCACCTCGCCTTCCAAGCTCACCACCAATCTCTCCGATTGCATCTCCTACTTCAGGGTTGTCACCACGAAGTGGTGAGGTTCACCAGCTTCCCCCCCCTCCTCTAAACTGTTCAGATAAATCTTCAGCATTGCCGCCAAGTGCTCATAGTGGAGTTCTTCATCCACCGTCTGCTCCACAAGCTGTGCCACAATCGGGAGCTTTGAGCACAAGTCCAGGAACTGGTGCTTCTACGGTTGCAGTGTCTGCATGCACATCAGCATCACCACTTCCACCTCCTCCGCTTCATTCCCTTCGCAGTGTTTCTCCAGTCTCAACAAGTGGTTCCATCCGAAACAAGGTGTCTAATAGTAGGATAGGAAATAGTGGGTTCCTCATTGATCAGCCAGAGTCTGTGGCTCAGCCATCTTCACCTACATCAACATGTTCTTCAACAGTGACTTCAACGGGGCAGGTATCTGCATCGGTCGCTTCAGCCCTTCGAGAGCCAAGCACCGCAAATTCAGCAAGTCCTGTGACCAATGCAGAGATGGCCAAGTCAGCACTATTGTCTTCGGTGAGCTCTTGTGCTTTTGTTATCTCTAGCATCTTCTTTTGAATCTATGAATGATTGCCTCAAGCTGCTGACTCAAAGTTTTCCTTGCATAGTGTCTTGAATCTATGTATGTGTCTTTTGAATCTATGAATGATTGCCTCGTTTAGCCCTTTTAATTAACCAAGGCTGAATACCCGGCCCCACCAGGCCCCCCTTCCCCCGCCAGAACCGGGCTGGTTCTACTGGCCAGTGGACTGCGCCGGTTCCCCCCCGGTTGCAATTTGCGCAAGTTGATTGCGGGGGGGGTTCAAATTGTTTTGGGGCCGGGGCGCAAGTTGATTGCGGGGGGGGGTTCAAATTGTTTTGGGGCCGGGAGGCCTCCACACGTGTCATGGAGGCCTCCCGCCCCCCAGAAAAAAATTAACCGGGTACGGTAGGCCGCCAGAATATTGGAATTGGCGGCCTATCTGGGCCGTCGATCTATTGAGATCTGCGGCCCATATAGGCCGTCCGTTTTTGAACATTCAGGTGGGAAACCACCCGAACATTGGCCTGCCATCCATACGTTTCCTAGCCACCGCCCCCACCATCCCGCCTCCCGCTTCCAGCTGCTTTCGAGCAGCACAACCAATCACTTCGACACTTCGTCGTAAGTGGACGAGGTCGAGACGGCAACGCCCCCCCCACGTCCGCCCCGGCCTTGGATCGCCATCGTCCCACCCCACGTCCGCCCCAGCACAACCAATCACTTCGACATGCTCGTTCGGGGCGACTTTCTGCAAGTGCACGTACCTCTTGATATTGGCTTCCCAATTATGAAAACTTTCTTCCTTCTTCCCGCTGTAGGAATCCAGGAATTTGACCTTAACGGGCTCCCTACAGGGACGTGCCTCCTCCTTGGGAGCAGCCAGTTTGGCGCCTTCTATGGCGCCCGTGCAATAGTTCCGTACCCTCTAGGCGGGCCCTCACCTCTGAGCCCACCTGTGTCGCCAATTCCCTGGCGAAGTCCCTGCGCCCCAACCGTATAGAGCGTAAGGCAATGTCTTGACCTCTACCAAATAGATATTGTTCTTCCTGGACTTGTGCCAGGCGCTCTATGTATCTCGCCATTATCTCCATCTTCCCCAATAGGTCCACCTGCGTCGCCATCTGCTCTCTTTGCTTTTTCACCACCTCCAATTCTTTCGCCGCCTGGCTCGCCGCCTCCATTCTTCTTTTCCTCTCCCTCATCAATCGGAACTTCCACTCCATCCTCTTGTCATCCTCTATCGCCTGCCGCCTGAGTGGATCTTCTTCTGCATCCCACATTTTCATGGCGGCCTCTTGTTCTTCCCTGGGCACATACATCAATGCCTCCTCTTCGTCCCCCAGGGATAAACCAGCAGCCCACTCCGTAATTTGCTTCTCCATCTGGTCTTCCTTGGTACTTCTGGATTCACCTCCTTGCCCCCTTCTTCTCCTCCCCAGTGACATTTCTTCTACCTCTTCCTCCTCTTCTACTGCCTTGAGCTTCTCTTCCTCTTCTTTGTTTAACCTCTCTTTTTCTCTAGCCATCTCCTCCTCAATCTTCCTCAATTTCGCCACCTGTTCCTCCATCAGAGCCTTCTTCTTGGCCTCCTTTTCTTTTCTCTCTTTCAGGATGGCGGCGGTCTTCGCGTCCTGCTTTGCTGTATAAAGGGAGGTGCTCGTTCCACTACGTGTGTCTACCATGGTGATAGACGCACAACCAAGTGATGGTTCCACTCCTCACCACTTAGACTCTCCCCTTAATTGACTCAACTTAAGACTGACTTAATCTATGGAGCACAGGGTTCGTAGAGAGCCCTATCAACTATGGTCTCTAGCCTAGACTCTAATCACTACAGCCGTCACTACAGAACCTGTTGCTGACCAGGAGGCATTTAAGCCGTCACTACAGAACCTGTTGCTGACCAGGAGGCATTTAAGGAGATCCCCTGTAACTCCTCAGGAATTCTTTAACGTCGCAGACAAGACGACGCGGTCAGCAGGTTCTCTCAAGACTTAGATGGCCCGTTGTGCAGCCCACACCTCGGATTTTGGGCCCACCGTGCCACACCGAGCAGCCCGCCGGTCAGTACCGGTCCTTGGGAGGGTTCGTGTCCTCCGGGACAGTCGAGTTGTCAGACACAGTCTTTAGCCCTACTCAGCCCGTGTGGGTTTGGTCAACGAGGCCCTATCCTTCATACACGGAGTCCTATCACCGGGACAGAAGAGACTCAATGCAGAAAGAAGAGACAGACAGACACAGACTTAGCAAGTACAATAGGGTGAGTGCACATCCATAGGGCGAGGGGATAGGCTAAGGGCTTGGCGAGATTATACCAACTCCAGCTTGGCCCAGATCGTGTCAACAGCTCCTGGTCAACGCCTTGGTCAACGTTTGGTCAACGCAGTCAAACCCCAGTCAACGCTCCGGTCAACCCTCTAGTCAACGCCCAGTCAACCCTTGGTCAACGCCCGGTCAACCTCCAAGTCGGCTATGGCTGCCGGCACCTTCTTCCTCGCTACCCTTCACTTCTCTTTCACCCTCCTTCACTTTTCTTCTTTCTCCTTTCTCTTTTTTTTTTTTTTGTTCACCCTCGGCTATGTCTATCTTCTACTTCGTTGTCCCTCCTTCCTCCTTCCTCAGCTATGTCTCTGGGCAGTAGCAGGCCAACTCACCACGTGCTTTTCAGGGCTTCCCTCCACTACTCACCAAATGTGCAAAACGAGAATGAGTCTTCTGCTAGAACATGGAACCATACGCCGCCGTATGTTTTGTCTTTTGTGCAAGTGGTGACGAGTGGAGCAAGGCCCTTAGGGCCACTGCTCGTAGGAAAAGGAAACAAAAGAAAGAGAGAAATGAATCTTCTGCTAGAACATGGAACCATACGCCGCCATATGTTGTGTCTTTTGTGCAAGTAGTGACGAGTGGAGCAAGGCCCTTAGGGCCACTGCTCGTAGAAAAACAAAACAAAGAAAGACAGAGCCACGATAGCAAGTAGTTGTTGTAACTTGTAACCCATAACTGCTGGAAAGCAGACCTGACTTCGGATCCAGAACATATATTGCAGGCCTGCTCCGCTCTCACACAAAATTTGCTGAACGTTTCTTGAGATGTTGGGACCCTTGCAGATGCAGTGCTGGGGTCCTTCGGGAAAAAGGGTATTCAACAAGGAATACGTGGCCCTAATTTTTTTTTCTGTGCCCTTTGGGAGGGGCAGCATTGGCTACCTCAGCCAACCTTTCCCGTTTTTTTTTTTTACCCTATTTATTGGGGTGCGCCGCATCACGTGCGCGCGCATGCTTGCGCGTGCGCTATGCGCCGCACGTGCGGAGCTCGCGCGCACGCGATGCGCCGCAGGTATGGTTCAAACACTTGGGGTCGACACAGATACTGTACAAAGGTAACGTGAGAACTAGGGATCGAGCCCTGGGATCTGCATTCGCTACTGCTAAAGGTGAAAACCGTTTCAAAGTGAGTCTCCATTTCTTTGACCTCCCGCTTCCATTCGCCTGATCTCCACGTGATCTCCGCCTGGCCGCCGCCTCCTCTCCGCCCTATCTCCTTCCGCCCTTCTCCCTCCTCTTCCTTTCTCCTCTCGACTTCTTTGACCTCCTCCTTGCCTCCTCCCTTGGCCCTCAGCCCTCCCTCTCTTTCTCCTTCCTTTCTTGGCCATTCCTCCTCCCTAGGCCCTCACTTCTCCCTCCATTTTTCGTCCCCTCGGCGTTCACTTCTCCCTCCCTCCCCTGACCGGGACTGACGCGACATCCCATCATACACCACACATGTGAGGGAGGAGGAGGGACCGCACACATGGAAGAAAGGGCCCTCGTACACGCACATGGGGAGATACCACAGGTGAGAGACGGGAGAAGAGGCGAGACAAAGATGGAGGCGAGGGAGAAGACCGAGATCGCAACAGCGGAGTCCAAAAAAATAGTTCCGTGTCGATACGCAGTCAAGGTCTGCCTCAAAAATGTCGGAACAGTAACCCCTGCCTGTATCCTCTACCTGTAACCTCTCTCTCTCTCGTATCTGATGAAGGAGGAGGAAGAGAGGGAGGCTGACGAAGAAGATCGCCTCCCTTGCTGTCTCACCTGCAGGTGATAACGACGAACTGACCGCCGTTCTGTGTCGTCGTGTGCAGGTCGCGCGTGCACGGGGAGTCCCAGCTATGGCGCCAGGTAAGTCCCCTTTCGTCGCAGATATGGCCTCCTCTACATTCCGGTGCTCAGCCTCCAACTCGGTAGCGCAGCGCTGAACCAGCAGTGCGCCGCTCAAGAAGTGAGCTACTGGAGCTGTCCAGTACCCTGCCTCAGCCCAGCTATATGTAGCGCTGGGCCTGCTGGGCGCGCCTCAGGCACTGGCCTCAAACGGCCTACTTGGTCTGGGCCCCTTCCGGGTGTCCAGACCGTGCTGCTGATGCAGCGAGGCGCCAAAACGTGCCTGGCCTGAAACGGCCTCGTCCCTGTGTACCTGGCCCAAGGCGTCGCCTTGAGACCTGCAGTCCAAAACGACGTCTAACAGTACCTATGGCCTGTAGGGCCGCCGTGGGCCTCTAAGGTGCGTGCTGGATGGCACGCGGCCTGGGGGCCCCTCAGCAACCGTCGGGACCTTTAACTTGGGCCCGTGTGCAGGCGCAGCATGTAACACCCCCCCCTCTTTATGAAGTCAAGCCGGGTCAAGGGCGAAGTTGACGAACTGAAAAGAGCCAAATTGGAGCAATGAAAGATTGGGATGACGGGCAAGTGGGCGGGCACCTGAATGATGAATGAAGGTCCTTCGGGCGCATCCCCAGCGGGTGCCACGATCGGCCAGGGCCCCATCCATTTCGGGAGGAGCTTGCGAGATATATCTTGTTTGAGGCTGAGTTCCGCAGCAGAGACCCATACGAGGTTGCCGGCGCGGAATGGACAAGGAAGACGCTGGCGATTGGCATGTTGGCTAGTGCATTGTTGCGCCTTTGCCACGTGGCCTTGACAAGTAGCTCCTGCATCCGGCGCAAGAGAAGAAGATG